CCTATATATCATAAGGATGGATAAATGTTAATTAAGTAAGTCAATCTACAGGGAGCCAACACTGGCAGCACAGGAGGAGACTATGAAGGAAGCAGGAAAGAGAAGAGAACAAGGGGATGGCAGGTGTTGGAGGTACTACCTCTGAAGGGCAGAGAGTGTTGACAGGAGAGGCCAGAGATGGTGTGATACTGAGGTGGGGGAGAATGTCGATGCACAAGAAGGCAGATGAGATGGGGATAAGTGGCCCATGGATACCAAACTGGTAAGCAAGAGTTATCTTTCCAGACAAAGGAGCCTGTGGCTAATGAAGGACTTAGACCACCAGTATTCTCATACGCTCTGGATGGGAAGGCAAATTGGTCAGTGACCTTGGAAGGCAAATTGGTAGTGTCTATTAAAATGTAACCCAAACTGTACAATCTAGTTATTCCACTTCTAAAAATCTTCCTTATTTAAACAAAATTGCATATACACAGGAGGTGTGCTACTTATGTTTTCCACAACATTCTTGGTGAAAACAAAAATTGGGAAACAACCAGAAAGCAGAATGGCTAAATAAATTGCAGACATGCAACATGTGAAATACAATGCAGTGGTGAACAATAATGCAACAGGCTATGTATTCACAGGTCTGGGTCACCACGACACAGTGTTAAGGGAGAAAGCACTTCCAGGGAAGTGATCCCACTTCCATTGACAAAGACAAGAGAGTGGGGAAGAATTGTGATTTTAAAGTTTTTGGCCTTTTCTATAATTTCTAAGCTTTTTTTTTTTCATTTTTCTTTTATTATTCATATGTGCATACAAGGCTTGGTTCATTTCTCCCCCCTGCCCCCACCCCCTCCCTTACCACCCACTCCACCCCCTCCCGCTCAACCCCCTCAATACCCAGCAGAAAAAAAGTCATGAGTCATTACCTTTATAATCTGATAAAAATTTTGAGATCTAAAATGTTTTTTCCAGAAAAAGTGTTTTCAAGAAGCCAGAAAGAGCCAGGTGTGGTGATGTGTGTCTGTAATCCCAGCACTTGGGTGACTGAGGCAGATGGATTGTGAGTTCCAGGCAAGACTCTGTCTAAGGAAAAGAAAAGAAAGCAAGAGAAGAGGGGAGGGGAGGGGAGGGGAGGGGAGGAGAGAGGAGAGGAGAGGAGAAGCAAGAAAGAAAGAATGGTTGGGAGATGAGACTTGATGAGCCACCAAATGTGTGAATGGCTTCGGGACCTTGGAGAGGGCAAGTTGTGCAAAGAACATAGAGCAAAGAGTCAAGGCCACCAGCACAGGCTGCCTGCCCCAGGAGGGATGGGAACGGAGTATTTAGAAAAAAATCCAGGGGAGCATTTTTTGTGGTTCAAGGAGACTTGAGGATTGCAAGGTATCAGCAGGTGGTTGATTTGTAAAGTAAGCTCTGTGTATCGTGCTTGGTAACTCATCTAATACTGACTGCCAACATGCACTGAGGCCAGTGACAAGGGCCAGGGTGTTAATAGCAACAAAGCAGGGAACATTTGCTCCCCCTTCCTGTCCCCCACCCCTCCCGGTCACTTTAGACCCATCACAGCAAGCAGGTCTATTTGCAAGCCCTCTGCTGTGAAATCTGCATTTGAATTCTGTGTGTTACTTTTTAAAAAATCATAGCCTTTTATCATTTCCCGAATCCCTGCTGTCTTTAGAAAGATGCCTGATCTTTTCTGAACTTACCATGCCTTAAGCAATCTGAGAACTCTTGTTCCTTCTTTATTATCCATGAATTATAATAGCTCAGCAAAAATAAGTGTCTCCATTATGGCCTCAATACTGATGAAGCTAAACTAAGGCTTAACAAAGAGTTATAAGTAATTGCCTGGCCACCGTTGCTCCGTGCCTGCTGTACTCTAGCCTGCCAAATGACCCACTCAAAGGAACTGGAAGGAATTGAAATGGACCCTTAAAAATAGAATCCGTCCTTATTTAGCTAAGATACTCGAAGTGCCATTCTCCCAACCCTAGCTATGCATTAGCTGCACTCATTGAAGGCCATTGGTTGGCATTGTGTCTGTGCTAAGTAGAAGAGGAAAGCAATCTGTCTGTATACCTTGACTTCCTCCCCGGCAGCATTTAAATCCTCCACAGATGGTGCACAGTTCTACCAGCATGGAGAGGACAGAGCCACTCCCACGTCCCTTCCCTTCACTTAGAACCCCTTGAAGAATGAGGTGCCACTTCAAAGAGATGCACATCCTGCGGGTGGTCTTCCAGCTTCTGGTTGATTTATGCTGGAGCCTAGCCACTACCTCTGCAGCCTTTTCTTGGGGAGTATATTTAGCTGACCTTTCTTTGAGGAGACAATCCCACATCAGCTCAGAGGAAAACCTGAGTCCTCCATGTTGAGCAGTGGCATTTGGATGAGCTGCAGGAATTCCGGACTTCCTTCTTCTTTGATCCCTTAAGCCTGCACTGGCCACCCCACGGCCCGGCTCAGCAAGTCCTGGACTAATGGTGTCCTGAGGCTGAATGTATGATGTAGATCTTGCAGCAATTATCACTCTAACACAAATCACTCTGCTGCACAAGAGTCGCTGGGCATGCTGGTGGTGCCCAGCGTTGTTCTGAGCCCCTTGCTTTAGGGAGCCTGTATTAACAGCAGGCACCTGGAGGAGGGGCAGCGATGGGCTCATGGTCACATCCTTTACAGACCACAAAGCCCCTAGAAGGCAGAATGTGAGAGAGATGGACAATAAGAGAGTGTCTTCCTGTGGGGGCTCCATTTGCTCATAGGTGCAATGGAACCTCACTATTCACCACCCCCATAGGGCAGGTTATTTTGTGGATTAAATCCTGCTTCTAAGAATGATGTTATCCCCATAAAATAAACTCCAAACCCAGAGGCTTGCAGGAAGAGGACATTAGCAGGCTGCATGTGCTCACCTCCCAGGGTCTCTTCCTGCAGGGCTGCCCCCTCCACACACACCCCATATCTGAACCCTCATTCCCTCCAGAACTCCGCAGGCCTGAGAGAGCTAGCTTGGGTGTTGATAGCAGAGCGGCAGTGTCTTGTCCCCCACCACTGTAGGGTGCGAGGTGGAAATGGGACTTTTTGTTCCTGATTTCTTCCTGTCAGATTGAAGCCTGTCTCCAGGACTGCCTTCAGACCATATAAAGCCAAAAGTCATGGGCACCAGGTTGTATCCCCACTTGCAGCTGCTCCCTTCTGAGGGGGCACCACTCAGGGACCATGTGAGCCCAGGAATCTTTGCCCGTGGACTGTCCTCACATCTCTCCAGACAATCAACTGCCATTCCAAGCATCTCGACTGCTTCATTAAACAAGTCATTGGGCCACGCTGAGTGCCTTCTTCAAAGATGTTTAAGAATAAGACACTTACACAGGATACGATGACACAAATATGCCAAGAAAACAATGCGTGAATTCTTTAGAGAGAGGCGTTATCTGACAAAAGTCAATTAGGGCCACCATTGGTGCCCCAGGAGCGCTGTCTTGTTAATGGAGATCCTGGCTGAGTCTTTCTGAAGTTTCTTTCCAGAAGTGAAATTAAAATCACACAATTAAAATGCTCACAGTTGGGGCTGGATGTTCTTGAACTGATTGAAAGATGAAGTGGTGGACAAGCCAACATTTTCAAGCAGCAATTGTCTCTGTAATTAAATGCAATTAACTGACAATAAATGTCTGTTTTTCTCCATCTAAGACTGATTGAAATGCTAAGACTTTTAAAAAGAAAATGGCCCCATCTGATTTCTCTTTCTATCTTAAACAAAATTCTCATCAGACTGCCCAAGGTGGTGAGTTGGCACACCACCTGTAAGGTGGAAGTTCAGGGTTAATATTCCAAGAAAATTGGGGGAAACCATGTTGGAGAAAAATCAAGCACTGGGCTTTTCAATGCGGATTATTTCTCCTACGTCACACACACTTGCATTTCCACAAAACCTAACGGCTTTTCTGTGCCTGGTCTCTGAGAAGGAGCCTTGAATATATAGATAACCAAACTGCACACTCCAAAGGTAAAAATAAAAAGTCCATTAACTTTTTTAAAGAACATGTTTTTCTGATTATTACAGTCAGTCTGAAAAATGCTAAAAGATTAATGAGGAAAAGGGTTTCATAAAGCAAGATTCATATAGAGAGATAACCACTTGATGTTTTTCTTTTTACATACATGTTTTAATTGATACTGGATTATATATTCTTAATACTGTATTATACATATTTGTATCCTCATTTTTTGTTTATATTGGAAGTATTATGCTTTCTTTTTTCTTTTGTAGTACTGGGGTTTGAACTCAGGGCCTCATGCTTGCTAAGTAGGCACTCTACCACTTGAGCCACTCCACCCGCCCACAAGTACTCTTCTCAGTATTTAAAAAGTTCTTGAGCATTTTTAAGTGTCCAAATAAAATCTAATCACATGGACATCCCACTGTTTACCTGACCATCCTTTTATTGTTAGACATGAAGGTTATTCATAGAATTTTGTTATTATAATAACCATGAAAAGGACATTCTAGTAAAAAAAAAAATCTACCTGTATTTCTGATTTTTTTTTCTTTCAAGTGCAATTTTCCTGGGCCAAAAACTAGAAACACATTTGAGGTTTTGGTTTTAATGCTAATTGCCCTGTAGAAAGGCTACAAATTTATAATACTTTCATCAGCAGGGTGAGAAGTTGCCCAATCCCCCAAGTGCTGGCCAACTCTGAGCATGGAATCTCTGCAATTAAGCCTGTGGAGAGCCAGAAGCCATCTCCTAGAGAAAGGTCATTGCCTAAAGATCTTCTGGGGTAATTTAGCATCCAAGACTTGAATTGCTCAGTTGTCTTGCTGTGCTTTCCAGCCAAGGTGAGGGCACATAGGAGCCAGTTTCAGGGAAGCACTCACCAGTGATTTAAGTGATAGCCATGAACAACCAGGAAGAAATAAATTGCTGTTGTGCGTGAAGGTATGTACATATCAGGTCAATCTGGTGTCTGTCCCCATGTCACCCACCTCCCTCTCCATTTTCTAGCTGTGTTGGCCAAAGATGGGCACAAGGTCATCCTAGAGGAAATAGAGTACTGGAATGTGGTGGAACTCTTGGTGAATGAGGAAATCGTCTTCCAGTGCAACATTAAGGACTTGGAGTTTGGTAAGCCCAGAAGCAAAGGTTCCACTTAGCCCTTTGCCCCGTCTGAGGAGTCTCCCCGATTCTAGTTGAAATGGTCAGTATATCATGCCTAGATTCAAATTGGGTTTTTTTTTATTTTAAATTTGTACTAAGAGACCTGTACCCTATGGCATGTGAGGAAGAGCATCCTAAACCACACATGGTAAAGGGCTGTCTGTCACTGCTCTTCTTTCCAGAATGCTGGAAACAGAAGAGAAAAGAAAATGAAGTTAAACCCTGGACCTCAAATAGATGATGGAATTTAAGGGTAATGGGTTTGGGGATTTTTTTTGTTTTGGTTTGGTTTTTTTGTACTTTAATAATGTGTGTTTTATTATTATTTTCTTTCAAAGTGATTTTTATTCTATTTATCCTATCTAGACTGACTGAGACAATTTGAGTCGATATGCCTTTAGCACGTGGCATTATTATCAACGTTCTAGTGATTTCTTTGCCCTAGAGGGCTTCTGGCCTGGCAGGCTGGCACTGTGCCTGCTTCCCTGTGCCATAGCAAGAGCTTTTGCAATCCACAGACTCTATTAAAACAGACTAGTTAACATTTTACATGCCTGGAGCCTTTGAAAATGTACTCTGGGTGGAAGCCCAACATCAAATTGTGTATAAACCCGGCCAAAACAAAATTTTATGTTTCCCTAGGAGGTGATGGTAAACTGGACCCACTGTGCAAAGCTGCCAGGATTGCAGTGCTAAATGCCTACTGATCTCCTTGTGGAACAGACAAAGCGCACATCAGCTATTCCTGGCCAGTCTGAGATGCCAGTACTGGGGGCTTTGCGGGCACATGGTCACTGAGCTCTTCCAGTCAGGATAAGACGGTACCACTTGTCCCTTTGCCTATACTACCTCAGGTATCCATCCCATCCAGCTGCACAATAATAAAACCACAGCACTGGCAGCAGCTTTCAGTCTCAACCCATAGGGAGAGCTGTCTAATATCAGATACACACTGAGCTGAAGGAAATAATAAAATGCAATCTAATAACAGAGCGCCATTTCTTACTAATAACGCACAGTTGCCAGAAGCATTTGACATTCCATTCTACAGTGGGTGCAGAACTAGAAACAGGTAAAATTAAAGAGGGTTGGGGGCGGTGAGAATCGAGGCTTTTGCAAGTCTGAGCCGAAAGTCAGTGTCAGTATAGTATTTGGAAACCCGGCTACTCCTACAGATTTACTTCTTGCTCTCATTGGAATAAATATTTTAAATTGCTAATATAAAATAAGCTGAACTCCATTCTTCAGCTATCCTCATTTAAAACAAGAAAAGTATCTGCCTTCTTTTGCATTAGCCAGTCCAACAGGACGTTCTGAAGAGGGCAGGAAAGAGGCCTGAGCAGAAGCCAAAAGTGACTCCCCTGACCCTTTGAGGAGAACACAGCCCACATAAAGGTGTTTTTAGCTCCAGTCATGTCAAAATGACACTCATTTTACTTCCAAGTCCTACACACTGACCTGTAGTATATATTCTTAACCATAGAGCAAGGGAGAGGGGAGAAACTCAGATACCGATCTAATGCTGAGATCATGGCAAGGGGGCCTCACACCCATTAGATCAAAGACAGACTCCCCCTAAAGAAGCCTGGAGCCTGTGCTGAAAGAGCAGGGCTTTCAGAGTTTAGGAGCCCCGGCCCCCCAGAGCTGTCCTCACCACTGCCCTGGGCAGCTGAAACCCTCCTGCACAAAGACCAACAGGACTCTGAAACTACAGGCACAAGCTTCGTCTTGCATGCGATGAAGCAGAATATATCATTTAAAAACCCCTGCCCAAGTTTCACTTAGCAGAGATTATAAATCTTCAATGTTAAAACTCTTCAAAAATATTGAATCATTTCCTTACTGAGAAACTGAGGCTTGAAAAAATTCTTCCTTCCAGGGTCTGGTGTTGGTTTTCAGGTATCTTTAAAAACCCTAAGATTCAGTCCCTTTTGCCAAAGACCACCTTCAGTTACTATAGATATAGCATTCTCTCGTGGTTTCATTATAAATATCTTGGTGCCTAAGAGGAATACATTGTCATGAAAGAAAAATGGAAAAATACAACTAATAATAAAGTACAAATTTAATAATCTGTTGACATATTTCACTTTAGGTTTCTTCTATTTATGTCTGAATACTCATAAAGACATAGACATGCAGAAATTGATTTTACCCATTCAGAATCACATTAACTCATTGTTTTGTGTCAAGCTTCTTCCTGTGCGACAGCATTTGCTGACTGCCCAGCACTGCTTTTTATTTATTTATTTTTTTGTGCAGTACTGAAGATGGAGCCCAAGGCCTCATGCTTATTAGGCAGGTGCTCTACCACATGAACCATGGCCCCAGCTCAAGCGCTGTGTGTGTATTATTTTGTTGGCATGTATTAACTGTACAAAGAGGTTTCATTGTGATCTGTCCATCCACATATGATATGTGATATGTCCATGCATGTAATGTGCTTTGATCAAACTCACCCCCCATTATTTTCTTACCCTTCTCCCCATTTTAAAAAACTTTAATGGGCTTCATTATTCTGTTTTCATATAAGCATATGAATTATTTTGATCATATTTACTCCCCTATGACCCTCGCTTTCACTCTCCCCCGTTGTTTCTAGCTCCTCTTTATCCCCCAACAGTCCCTCTGATTCTGCATATGAAAGAATATGTGATATTTGTCTTTCTCCATCTGGCTTATTTTGTTTAACATGATGATCTCCAGTTCCATCCATTTTTCTGGCAAATGACATAATTTCATTCTTTTATGGTTGAATAATACTCCATTATGTATATATGCCACATTTTCATTATCCATTCATCCTTTTATTGGCACCTAGCATTGTGTCCTAAATTAGGAAAAGTCTTCCTTCTTGTGTGTGACTGTGAATAAGGGGTTGTCTTCAGTCCATTTTGTGTTGCTGTGATTCGGTATCTGATGCTATGCAATGCATAAGAAAAGAGGTTGATTTGACTCACAGTTCTGATGGCTGGAAAGTCCAACAGCATGACACAGTGCCTCGTGAGGGCCCTCTGGCTGCATCACAACATGGAAGATGATATCACCTATGAGAGAGGAAGCAAGAGACCAGAGGAGGGATAGACTTGTTCTTTTTAATAATAACCAACACCTGAGGGAACTAATCCACTTCTGTGAGACCTAACCCACTCAGGGAGACCAGCATTAATCTCTTTAGAAAGGCAATTCCACTACCTTGCAGCACCATTCCATTGGGGACCATGTGACCTAATCATCCTCCATCAGTGGCTAAGAAGGGCTCCTTTTCTGAAATGTCTGAGGAAATGTGCAGTCACCCATCCTTTTTCTTCCTTCTGCTTCTCCTCCTTCTGTCTTCTGTCTGCTGAGCACCCTCCCTGCCTAGAACCAGGAAGCCCAGCTTGGTCCCTATCAAGCCAAAAGTACTCTGTGCTTCAACAAGCTAGACATCTGGGTGCCTTTTAATGCTTTTAAAACACCACTTAATTAAATCACATTTTAAGTTTTAAAAGATACTAAATCAATGTCACTCTTAGTGGAACATCTAAGGAACGTGTCTTCTTACAATAAAATTAGAAGCATACTTTTGTCTCAATAGTTTTAAAAGGAAATTTGGAATCGCTAAATTTTCATCATCTTTTAAGTTTTAAAGTTTAAAAAGAACAGATTTTCAGGAGTCTTCCAGGGCTGTTCCCTGGGGCCCTACTTGCCATACCTGCTGCCTTTGTTAGGTTTATGCTTTAAAACATTGACAGACAATCCTTCGACAAAGCTATCTACAAGGACTGGGGGTATATCTCAAATGGGAAAGCACCTGCTTAGGAATTGCAAGGCTCTGAGTTCAAATTCAAGTACCACAAAGCCATATACAAGATAACTGTGTTAAAACTCAGTTCCTAAGGTAAGTTTCAGGGACATTTCAGCAGTAAGGGAATGCAGGAAGGACCCTGAAGGGACCCTTGAACCCTCAGTGGCTATTCCTTTGGACATATCTCCCAGACAAAGTGACTCTGGGATATGACACTCAAATCCCCTTCCTTAAAACACTGGCCTCCAGCTGGTGGATTTGCAAGCATTATAGGGTTACAGAAAAGGAACAGCTCAGGTGACAATATTCATATGCCCTGTGGGTGCCAAGTTTCCATGAAAAACACACCAGCTGGGCAAATCCCGGTGAAAGTCAAGAAAATGCTAGCCCAGGTGTCTGACGTAGGCATGGAAAGACATTCTTCCCAAATCATTTGAACAGTTAAAGACCTTGTGGAAGAGGACATATGAGATGGTGATGTGACCCTCTGTTCTGTCCTGGCTGGGAACTGGTGATGTGGCTCATAGGAGGGAGATTGGATATCTTCCTGTAGGGTCCAGGCAGCAGCAGGGTGAGTGCTAAGCTTATATAAGAAGACTGGACAGACAGAACAGTGAGTGCCTTGTGGGGGGGACAGAGGGGTCAGGAGGAGCAGGATGGACTTAGATACCAGATGCCCAGGCTCAGAGCGGTGGCTGCCTCTTTAGCTCAAATGCTGCTGCTGTGTGCAGGAGGAGGTAGGTCTGGCTCTCTCAATATTCTGAATTTTTCCAGAAAGACTAGAAGTCTGGATTTCTATTTTAGCTTCCCCTCCTCCCTTTTTTTTTGTGCTGAGGATTGAACCAAGGGCATTGCACATGCTAGATATGTGTTCTACCACCCAGATCTTCAAACTTGATTTTAAAGTGTTGGCTTAATTAAAAAAAAAAAAAAACAAAGCCAACTGAAAAACAAAACCAAGCATGTCACAGCCTGTTAGCAGGATGATCCTCTCTTTCTGTTTACCTGGAACCATTCCAGATATGCCTTTGGTTTGAGCATCCTTTTCCCCATAAATTTCATGACTACCCATCATGAGGGGTCCATAGCCTTCCTGTCTACAACAGTGGTGTGTGTAGACTCTTTGTTCCTGTGAAACGCTTGGCCCAACCATTTGCTTATGCAAAAGAAAAAGCAAAGTCTGTTTGCACAGCTCTGAAATGACACCTGAGAAGCACACCCACTCCTGTGGCCCTACCCAGTAGTGCAGTTTAGGAAGAGCTGACTGCATGGGTCATTCTTCCCGATGGGGATGCCTCTTTCTGAGGTGTTAGACTGCATCTGACTGCATAGTCACAGGCCATTGTGAAATGTATGTTCCTGTTTGAGAGATCCTTCAGAGGGCATCAACAGCTGACATCCAGAAGCTGAAGAATATAGTAAGTCCCAGATCCCTGTTCACATGGAGTAACAAGTTAGGGGGAGATCAGTGCAGCCTGTACTGCTGATGTTCTCCAAACCCAAACTCCAAGGAATACACTGACATTACAGTCTCTTGTAGGCAGATTCTAGAACCCATTCCTTATGTTCTGATTTAACGGGTTTGGGATGGGACCTAAGAATCTGCATTTTTAGCGTTGTGCTTTCAGCTGATTCTGATGTAAGAAGGCCATCTGCATTCTGAAAGAGTTGGCATTAGATGTCAGGGCAAGACCATATCCTGTAGGTAGAGGTCAGTGCTCTGTCAGTCATTCTGGGAAGGGAAGGGAATAAGAGAAGGGAAGGCTATCCCTAGAGAGCGGAAATGGGATTTTTGTTCCCTTTGGGCCTCGTATTCTTGAGCCTGGATTCCAGGAACCCTTGAAGGGCTTAGAAATACTTCTGTGGGGAGAGAAAAGCTGGTCTCCAGAGCTTGAAGGGAGGTTGGGGGCTAGGCTGGCA